ATAAAATCACATGTTGAAAAGTCTATCCAAGACCGCATAACTTGCCGTATACGCAATTGTACTTCAATGACCAAACCACTCATTTCCAGTTTGTCCAAGACCGCATAACTTGCCGTATACCCAATTGTACTTCGAAAGGGTCGCTCTAGATTGGCCTTACATTTCCCTTAAGATGCAGAGCCTGGCATGGTTTACATTTCCGCGTATAAGAACATACACATTTGTCAACGATGACTAAATTGCAATGAAAACTTCTGCCACCAAAATTTTTGTATCAAATTCTTGATTTTCAAAGGTTGTATTGTATTTCCATCATGAGTTCTTTACAATTGTACAGCAATATGTAAGGAGATTGACTCCTTGAATTACGCCACAACAGGTGGCTTAGGGAAGACAAATAACAACTCCTTGAATTAAGGGAGTTGACAACTAAGATTAAGAAGATTGACAGCCCAAAGATAAACCAGACTCTTAACCACCTAGGGAACAATCAATACCCAGAAAGAACAAAGAAGAATAGTTGACCAATCCCCCTATTATCCAGTGTTACCGTAAACCTACCCTAGTATTCAGGAAACCCTAATAAACACTGGACTACTTCCAATACTCCCCCTCAAGCTGGATCCAGAAGATTTATGGATCCAAGCTTGGACAAAAGTCGTTGAAACTGATGAAAGGCCAAGGGCTTTATGAAGATGTCGGCCAGTTGGTTGAAGCTTCTTGTATAATGTGTCTGAATCACCTGCGACTACACCTGTTCCCGAACGTAATGGCAGTCAACCTCAATGTGTTTCGTTCTCTCGTGAAACACGGGGTTTGATGCGATATGCATGGCTGCTTGATTGTCACAAAATAAGGACATAGGAAAAGTTAAAGGAACACCTAAATCACACAGAAGACCCTTGAGCCAGATCAACTCACACGCAGTTGAAGACATTGCACGATACTCAGCTTCAACACTTGATCTGGCGATAACAGTTTGCTTCTTACTTTTCCAGGTGACCAAGTTTCCACCGACAAATGTACAGTAGCCAGTGGTGGACTTACAATCGATTACATTCCCCGCCCAATCAGCATCGCAATACTCCATGATTTGGGTGTTGTCATTCTTCTGCATGATGATACCTCGACCCACTGATCCTTTTAAGTAGCATAAGATCCTTTTAAAAAGGGTCAAGTGCTCAAGAGTCAGGGAGTGCATGAATTTGCTCACAAGACTTACAAAATAAGAGATGTCGGGTTTGGTGATTGTTAGATAAATCAATTTACCAACCAATCGCTGATAATGGCTGATATCTGTGAGTGGTGTGCCCTTCAAGCTAGGTTTATGCTTGCTGTCAAGAGGAGTAATAGCCGGTTTAGCATCGCTCATGTTAGCTTCCTTGAGCAAATCCAAGACATACTTTCTTTGGTTAAGAAACAGTCCCTTGTGCGAGGTTGCCACTTCTATACCAAGAAAGTACTTCAATATCCCAAGGTCTTTAATTGCAAACCTTTGTCTGAGGGTCTGTTTGAGGTTGAAGATCTCATCAGCATTATCACCTGTAATTATCAGATCATCAACATAAATCAGCACAACCAATTTGTCCACAGCTCCTATGCGAACAAATAATGAAGAATCGGCATTACTGCTTTTGAAACCAACACTAGTGAGAACTGAGCTCAGTTTTGCATACCAAGCTCGTGGGGACTGTTTCAGGCCATAAATGGATTTGTGCAATTTACACACCAAATCCAGTTCATTGCTTTGAGGATGCCCTGGTGGCAATTTCATATAGACTTATTCTTTGAGATCACCGTGCAAGAATGAGTTTTTCACGTCCATTTGGTACATGGACCACCCCTTGTTTACAGCGACAGACAATAACACTCTCATTGTGTTCATTTTGGCAACAGGTGCAAACGTTTCTTTGTAATCCACCTCGAATGTTTGAGTGAATCCCTGAGCCATCATTCTTGCTTTATGCCTCTCAATTGATCCATCTGACTTGAATTTGAGTTTATAAATCCATTTGCAACCCACAGCTTTCTTGCCTATTGAAAGTTTGGTGATACTCCAGGTGTTGTGTTGATCTAGGGCGTTAAGTTCCTCTTGCATTGCTTCTTTCCACACCTCTTGGCTGTTGGCCTCATGGAAATTCTGAGGCTCCTTGTAACTTGATATGGCGCTTAGGAATGCAGCATGGGCTGGTGTCACTCTCTTGTACGACACACAATTGGAGATGGGATGTGTGGGTTTGTAGATGACAAAGTCTTGAAGTCTTGTGGGAGTTTTCCTAACACACATTGGATTGTGTCGAGGAGCAGACCGAGTTGTTTCACACTCGTTCACATCATCTTGATTGTCATCGTCTTCATGCAGTGTACCATCAGAATGAGACCCTTCATTGCTATTTTCATTGAGAGATGCATCAATGTTGGCATGGCTGAGATCTTGTTGTTGTAGAGCCTCAAGTTCGATTCTTGGTAGTGGGAACACATCCAAGGAGCCATCCCCTTGTACGGTGATTTCACTTGACTTGCTGAAAAAAAGGTTAGTTTCATGAAATCGAACATCTTTGGACACAATTAATCTCTTTAGTTGGGGATTATAACACTTATATCCCTTTTGTGTAGATGAGTAACCAAGGAAAATATATTTAACAGCTCTAGGATCTAATTTATCTCGGTGATGAGATTGAATCTGCACAAAATAGATGCAGCCAAAAACTCTAAGGTGTGAAAGGTCAATTTTTCTTCCTTTCATGACCTCTAGGGGAGACTTGAAATTCAAGACTCGGCTGGGTAATCTATTATTGATATAAGTAGCTGCCATAACCCTTTGGGACCAAAATCTCTTTGGTACATTCATTTATAGCATTAGAGCTCTTGTTTTTTCAAGTAGATCATGATTTTTATGTTCAGCTACGCCATTTTGTTGAGGTGTGCCAACACAACTTGTTTGATGCATGATGCCATGAGTGCTTAAATATTGTTTCATGATATGGGACATATATTCGGGGCCATTGTCAGACCTTAAGGTTTGAATTTGAGAAGAGAAATGGTTTTTAACAAGGTTATGAAAGTCCTTAAATACTTCCATAACTTCATTCTTAGACTTTAGAAGATACAACCATGTGACTTGAGAGAAGTCATCGACAAAAATCACAAAATACTTATAGCCATCAAATGATTCACTAGTTGGTCCCCATACATCTGAATGAACTAGTTCAAAACACTTACTAGCCCTGGACAAGGAAGAGTTAAAAGGTAATCTAATGGCCTTAGACAAGTGACATGTTTCACATAAGATAACATCCTTCCCTAAGTTTGGAAATAAAGTTGACAAAATGGGTGGAGAAGGGTGAGCTAAACGTTGATGCCACAATTGATTATCTTGGATGGGGTTGAACTTGGCTTGGAGTCCTCTGGGATTGCTCTTTGATATGTAATAGAGACCATCTAAATAAAACCCTTCACCAATCATCTTCTTGGTAGCATAATCTTGAAAGATGACATTGTGAGGAGAAAAAATGGCTAAGCAATTCAAGGTATTTGTGATCTTTCCCATAGATAGAAGTTGAAATGGGAAGGAAGGAACATATAAAGCCATCGATTCAATTTCATCTGACATTAATTTTATTTTTTCCTTTCCTAAAACCTTTACATTCTCACCATTTTCAATTGAAACTTGAGAAGGATTTGGAAATTTTTCAAACTTTTGAGACTTAGATACATGGTTGGTCATATGATCTGTGGCACCCGAATCTACAACCCAAAAATCATGCAACATATTTATTTTAAGAGCAGTTTTAAAGGCTTTCACGATACCTTGCATGTCCTCTTAGGGTACGAGTTTCGTGTCTGCCAAGAAACCTGCAAACTTGCCGAGCAATGCCATCGAGTTCCCTTCTTCTATGTGGTCTGCATGGTTAATTCCAGCCCCTCCTTTCTTGCCTTGAAGATACGACATAAACTCATTCATGAGTTCAGCTGGATTCGATGTAAAGTTCTTGAACGGATCAGACCCCTTGGAGGTGGCGGCAGTCACATGATTTGCTCGATATGGAGTACGGTTCACCCTTTATACACCCTTGTTGTCCTTCATGAAATCTGGCTTTAACTATGGGTGTAAAATCCAGCATGTGTCTTTAACATGACCTGTATTATTGCAGTGTTGGCACTTCAAGTTCGGATGCTTTCCTTTGTACTTCCTTTCATTGGTTATATATGCCCTAGCCTCAAGTACACTGGCCATTGTACCCATGTTCATGACTTTTCTCCTTACTTCTTCACGTTGAATTATCGCACATACACTGGTGAAGGAAGGAAGTTTAGTGTTCATGAGTATGTGACATCGTAGATCTTCATAAGTTGAATCGAGACTGGACAAGAGTTGAAATATCTTGTCTTCTTCTGCTCTCTTTCGTAGCAGTGCTACGTCAGTTGTATGAGGGCGATAAATTTCCAACTCATTCCACATGCTCTTCATGCTTCCTAAGAGTTGCACAAAAGGCTTGCCATCTTGTTGCAGATCGGAGATGTCTTTCTTTAATTGGAATACCCGTGCAGCATTGGTCTGACTGTCATACATTTCTTTGACAGCCTCTCATAGCTGGTATGAGGATTCAGAGTAACTTAATATTTCAGCTAATTTACGTTCCATGGAATTCAAGAGCCATGACATAACTAGCTGATCCTTGCTAAGCTAGGATTCATAGGTTGGTGAGGAAGCATCAGGTACTTCGATGCTTCCATTTATGAACCCTAACTTGGACCTTCCACCTAGAGCCATAGACACTGCTCTCAACCAAGGCAAGTAATTAAACTCATTCAACACGACTGAGCTTAATCTTTGATTTGGGTTGACATCCACCTCATGCACGTTCATGGAGGAAAGCACTGGTGAACTTTCAGCTTCTGATACTAATGGATTGTCTTCAGCCATTTTGAAGATTGAAAACGCTCGGATAGCAGTATAGCAGACGCAGGTTAATTTTCCTGCTCTGATACCATCTTGATTTTCAAAGGTTGTATTGTATTTCCATCATGAGTTCTTTACAATTGTACAACAATATATAAGGAGATTGACTCCTTGAATTACGCCACAACATGTGGCTTAGGGAAGACAAATAACAACTCCTTGAATTAAGGGACTTGACAACTAAGATTAAGAAGATTGACAGCCCAAAGATAAACCGGACTCTTAACCACCTAGGGACAATCAATACCCAGAAAGAACAAAGAAGAATAGTTGACCAATCCCCCTATTGTCTAGTATTACCGTAAACCTACCCTAGTATTCAGGAAACCCTAATAACCACTGGACTACTTCCAATACAAATGTAAGAAGGAACAAGATTAGCTTCTCAACCGCGCCTGCATTTTCAGTCAAGCCTGCATTTTCATCGGGGTTGCAGTTCGGAGATCTGAGCATTATTAAGCGAACAACTTACTGGCTGCGGCGTACATATGTTGTCCACATTATCGTAATTTTTTACTGAGCAAGCCGCCTTTGTAGAAGTTGGAACGGCTTGAGTGTCAGATTTGAGCATGGAATAAACTTCCAGCATTGTCCTTTAAAGGCAGCATGAGCACCAATAAAATTCTCCTTTAAAGGCAGATGGTAGTCATACGCAACAACATGCGCCCAATCCAAATTCCTTTTCATAGATTCAACCGGATAAATGAACGATTCAAAAGTGGGAATATACCTAACCGCCATTGTCAATTTTAATCGTGGCAGACCAGAGTTTCTTGCCTCAGAAGTCACAGCAGCTCGCCACTCATCCAGTAGCTTTTCCATAGTGATCGTACCTGAGGCTGTGTTAAGCCAAGGCCAGAGTAAGTCTATACCTTGAAAGCCATAACGTCTTGCCACTTCGATGGAGGACTCAATGAAAGACTTTCTATTCGAAGGAATTTCGAGCATTTTAGACTAGACTGAAAAGTTTGCTCTCTGAACCCAAAATTAGCTGACTTGCTGCTGTTTCTCCGTCCCATATGGATAGGAGCGTTGTGATTGATGGGTTTTTGCGCTTGACAATATCGGTGAAGCTTGAGAAGTTTTGTTCATGAGCAGAAGGGATGGAGAGCTGGTAGGTGGGGGAATTCACGTTGGCAAAAGCACAACTAAGATGTGTGAACAAGGCAGAGTTTACCTCCGGTAAAGGAACGTGGCTGCCCGTGTGCCAGTAACCAGCTTGAATCCAAGTTTGTGCAGAAGAAAATGAAAAATTACAAGAAATAAGGAAGATGAAGAGGATCCGGTGGGAAATATTTTTGGATACCATAGAAATAAACGCTAGCTACTTCGATTCTGTTGGAACGAGATACTTTGCTTGGCAAGTCAGTGGTGACGACAGCAATTGGGCTCTTTCTCAAACAGGTTGGTGGATGGTAACCTATTTATTTTTGAAACGTCTCTCTTACACGTTGCAAAAGCATGCACGACACGATAACAAATTAACATCTTTTTGATTGACCGTCTATGTTTATTGTTGTTGCAGCTTCAACTACTTGGGGATGAACATTGCTGATACATTTACCTACAACTACACTATATTTGTAGACAAAATACCTTGCAATAAGGGCTAATGAGGCCAAATCAACAATAACCGTTTTTTATATATCTATTGTGCTATGAGTCTATGACTTTTTTTATTTTTTATTTTTTTTATTTCCTCAATTGATACTCTACTAACTTCGCCAATTGTTTTGTTTGCTAGTGACTAATAGAGGAGCCACTTAGTATTACGGTCTAGTGGTATTCTTATTTTTTCTAAGTAAGAGGTTTTATAGATTCGATTCTCGCCAAATGCGAATTTGAACCACATTATTGCTAGCACATTGTGAAGCTAAAGCCAACTCATTCCCCTTAATGTAAAAAATATCAAGAAAAAAAAAGAAAAAAAGAGGCGAATGCCATACTAATCTGACTTTTTAAGGCTATGGTTAATGTGACCTCACACACCAAATAATAGTAATAAGCGGACTTGAACATCTTATCGGGAATCTATCCAAACCAATTACTTATAATGTTAAATTCGGCATTTGTAAATTGTATCTATGATTCTATGTGTGTCCACAAATCATTTGGGAAACTTGTTTGAAAGATTTTAAAGTCATTTGCCGTGCTAGTTTAATAATGCATTTTATGTGAATAAAAAAACTTACATATGATAATACAATGTTAAATTAAAATGTCACGTGATGGTAAATTCTAAAGTAATGGTGATCTTTACCAAAGTATTAATTATTGAATAAATTTGATTTAATCTATTTACTATATAAATATAAAAATGTAATATTATCTAACAGTAAATAATAGGATGCGCTACAAATGAATCCAACGGTGGAAAATGAGAACATTTTTTCTCACCACCATAAACTATGGTGTATGCTCATCATACACCTAATTAATTGACAAGTGTCCTCACACTTAACATTGGTTAATTTTTTTCAAACATAAAAAAATAACATTTATTGTGAAACTTAACTAGAATTAAGTGAAAGGACATGTGTCAATTAGTTAAATGTATGATAAATATATACTATAGTTATTGTGGCGAGCAAAATGCTGTGGTTAAAAAAAAATAAAAAATAAAAAAAAGGGCCACACGTGGTTTCACGCATACGTCGATCTCACCGATACAGCAAATTAGGTTGACCCTTCGCCACTCTTGACCAACCAGTAGAGCCCCTCGCGCTTGCGAGAGATAAAGCGACTATAGAGTCAGTCAGGGAATGCTCAGCGCATCGGTGCCCGCACCCACACCGTGTTCTCTCCAGGCTTCGCCTCCCCACCCTCGCTCCAACCACATCGCCGCGCGCGCTTCAATGGCCTCCGCCGCAGCTCGCAGCTCGGCTCATATAGCAGTCGTCGGCGACGTCGTAAGTCTTTCTCTCCCTCACTCTCTGTGAATTTCGGAAACCATCGCGGGTTGATTAATTAAATTTCGTTTTGTATTTCTCTAAATTTTCAATTTTTCCGTTTTGGGTTTTTTGAAGCATGATCAGTGGAATCTAGAAGAAGATACGAAAGCACTTGAACTGCTGCAGGTATTTACATTTCCCCCTCTTCAGTATTTTCTTCAACTTACCAAAAAAAAATAAAGAGAAAGTTAAAATCTTTGTTTATTTGGGATTATATAAATTTGTGTTAAATATTAGGAACCCTTTTGCCTGAATTCTTTGTTTCTAATTCGGGACCGGGTTATACATATTTGCCCGATTATATTGAAAAATTGTATGTCCTACCAAGAAATCTAATAAAAGTTTGTAACTTTATATCGAAATGCAGCCGGATTTGGTTCTTTTTACAGGCAGGTTTCATTCTCCCTGACTATTTCGTCTACCATATGTCTTTCGGTACTTCCCGATTGGTGAGCTGAGTAATTAGTAACTTTGGTTGTTTGATAAATTCATGACGTGTCCCTCCCTAAGTGTTGTAATTGTGCAGATAAATTTGTTATCACAATATAGCTAAACCGAGTTTAGACATTTAAGCCATGTGTGGTCATTTTTACGTCGTGGTTGTGCACTATCCTGGCTGCTGAGTTTTATTTGTATTGTGAAATCTGTAGTTTACCTTCCTTTGTCTATTTTGGCCTTTCCCTTTCCTCCATTTTGTTCAGGTGATTTTGGTGAAGAGAACGTTGAACTCGTTAAGAGCGTTGCAAATCTTTATTTTGCTAAAGCAGTTATTTTGGGAAACCATGATGCCTGGCATACAACACAGTTTTCTGGAAAGTACGCTGTTTCTCTTTTTCTTTTTCTTTTTTCTTAATTATTCCTTATGCTTAAAGTTTAGGGTTCTTCAGACACCCTAAATTGTGCGGTGCATGCATGCCTTTGCGTCAAGTGTGTTGATGTAATGCTGATTCTTAGTCCATGATAATCTGGTTACTTTAATATTTGATTTCAAATATCAGGAAAAAAGACGGCGTTCAACTTCAGCTAGAATGGTGAGTTTGTCGTATCTTAATGATTGTCAAACATTCTAAAATTGCTATATCTGTTGCATTTTTGTGTACCCATTATTACTTAATGTTCCATTGAAATATGATATCTTTACTGTTCTAGATGTCGTTCTTACATAATATGCTTGTAATATTCAGTCTCGGTGAGGAGCACGTAAGTTATTGGTGTTTGGACTATCCTACATTGAAGCTGAGCGTTGTTGGTGGACGACCTTTTTCTTGTGGGGGAAAGAACTTATTTCGACAAAAGCTCCTGTCTACAAGGTGTGTAATGTTTCTAGCAGTTCTTGATGAAACATGAAACGAGAATTTTATTGATTTGTTTGCTTTCTTATTCAAAAAACAAAAAATATAGTTGGCCCCGATACAAAGTAGCATCCAAGAATTTTGTACTCGTTTTTTATGATACCATGCATGAATCACATTTATCATGCAAATTCTTCGGAGAAAGTGTTTTCCACAATAGTGGCTTAAATTCTGACTTAATGTGCTGAAACATCAACTACTTAGGTTTGGGGTCCAAGACATGGATGGAAGTGCTAAGAGAATATGCAAAGCAACTTCGGGCGCGCCTGAGGATCATTTGGTCATGATTCTTGCACATAATGGACCCACAGGTTTATCAGTCTGCTGAAACAAATCATAATCAGGCTTTTGGAGCCAAACTTGTCACTTCATTTAAATGCAGATTTCTGAGTTCACTCCCTGTGCAGGTCTTGGTTCTAACATGGATGACATATTCGGAAAAGATTGGGTGTTTGGAGGTGGAGATCATGGTGACCCAGGTAATCTGATTCGAACCTCCACTCAATCACTGCAATGGCTTTTGTTATGTTTTTAAACGTAGTGACACATAATTGATGTGACTTTCCTACTCGGCCCTTTAGGTTGCTGCATGTTAATCATGACCTGATGAATCTAAGAGGCATGTCATTCATGTGGTTTGTTAATCTAAGTCGAGATTTAATAACATAAGCATTGTTCGTCCGGTACAGATCTAGCACAAGCCTTGTCCCTCTCAAAAGAAACTGGCAAAATCTGTGCTCCACTGTTGGTGTTTGGTCACATGCATAAAGAGTTAGCAGATGGGCATGGTCTTCGGAAAATGATTGTGGTTGGAGATGACAACACTATGTACCTCAATGGGGCGATTGTTCCTAGGGTTAAGAGACTGAATGTTGAACAAGGCACACCAGAGTCCTGTGGCACCATGCGCGCCTTCACCTTAGTGGAGATCTTGAACGGAACAGTTGATAATATTGTTGAAAGTTGGGTATCAGTTGCCGGCGATAGGATCACATTGGAAGAGGAGCACTTCTTGTTCAAAAGTGGCGATAGGATCACATTGCCGAAATTGGATGTTAATTTGAGCCTGATTGCATATGTAAGTACGTTTTCTGTCCACAACTGTGTTACAAGATATCGACTCCGATGCAAAAGGAATATGGTTGTTTAACCCCGTTGGATGTATATGCTATTAGGGTTCCAAGACAAATCATGTTTGTACGAGGAACATGAAACTCCTTTCAGTAAACTCTTATTTAACCATTAATCTATTTTCTTGAGTATTGATCTATTCAAAGATATTTAAATTCGAGTGCAACTGCAAGAGGATTTACTGTTCTAAGAAACTGACTTAATTCACGTTTACATTTTACAGGATTTCTCCCTTTTGCAATTATGTCCCCCTTTCTTTTTCTTTCCTTTCGTTTTCCCTTGGTGCACAGACTCCAAAGCGGTGTAAGGCCTTTTTGACTCAATATTTTTTGTATTGGTTGGTGCATGCACTTAACTAAAGACCTACCCTGTCGTTAATTCACTTATGAAATGTTGATCCAAATCACAATTATTACTCTTAATTTGTCGAACTTTAGTCCTAATCTAGTGAACTAATCATAGGGGTTTAATTCAAGAGAAATGCTAAGTAGACTGTCTTACAAGTGGGACTCTTTATGGATTCTCTGTCATTTTATCTTTTAGCACAACGGTTCATAATATTGGCACGAGAGTTGACGTTAAATTGTGAGGTGGTAGAGAATCCATGAAAAATTTCACCTTGGCATTTCTCTCAATACAATGAGATCATGATTATGATTGCAGCTGTCCAACAAACAACCTAAAGCCTCATCGACAATGCCCAAATTTGTAGAAATAAAAGTGTCCATATTATTGCGTGACAACTTAAATATTTCATCAAACAGTTGATGAATATCATCATCTTTATTCTATTGAGCTTTCATGTTCTTTGATGCCTTGAATTTATTTTTTGGCAGGTCCAAACCGAGTACAGGGCACTAAATATGGATCAATGGATACATTTTTACCGTTTTTGCAATGAGGTAAACTTGTGTTTGCTTTTATTTTCTCCAGAAATTCCGGTTCCTATGTTGTTGTATCTTTACACATTTTAGTTTCTTCTTCTTTGGCTTGAAATCCTAGCCGTGATTTTGGGAGGCTAAACAACATCACTCGATCGAGTAAAAGATTATGATAAGACTCTTTCCGTGTAAAATATTTGGTATCACATGAAAAACTACGAGTTCGGATTGTTGTTTCTTTAGTTTTGGCTGATAAGTTTTCCAGACCTGAAAAATTATGATTCTGATCAAGCATGGCCGGTGATTTTTGATAACTTTGTTGAATGGGTGAGAGACAAGCAAAGCTAATTCCGGCATCCTTACATTCCCTTTTGTTAGAATACACTGGTTACTCTAAGAAGGTCAAAGAAATCTCTCCTCCTAATTCTTTCCGTTCCTTTTCATCGGGGGTTAATATCTTAATTAACTTAAATTGCATCCCTTATTTTCCAAGAAGAATGTTTTAGTTCTACAATTATAATTGACTTCGTTCGGTTTGGTCCATTTGCAGGGCTTGTCAAGAATTCCGCCAATCGGTTCTACTACCAAACCATTTGTGCTTGAGGGGTTTTGTTTTCGTTTCAAATTTCATTTGGGAGGTGGTTCGGAGAGATGAGAAATGCTACAGTTTTGTGATGAGGAAATTTTGCAAGAGTCTAATTATACAAAAATGAGGTTGCAATTTGTTTTTGGGAGGTATGTTTTTCACTGGCCGATTGGTAAAAACGTTGTGCTTGTATTATGTAATTTGTGATATTCGAAACTATAATTTATGGGAAGGGGAATTTAAATTTGGGTGTTAGGAGGCACACATACTGCCCTTTGCGATTACGTGGATCGATTGAGATGAACATTTTCCAAAATATAAATTGAATGTGGCTCTTGATCAAATAAAATAACAAATCTCCAATCTACTTAGATTCATGCTACAAATAAAATAATTAAGGTTCATTTCAATAATCTAAACACTCGCTAATCACTCGATGAATCGATGCTTTACATACTAAATATGAAACAGCTGCGAGTTTCCGGTAGGGAATTCGATCTTTTTATCTTCTCATTCGTCAAGAATCCATGACTTTGAAGCTGCAGTTTTAAAACAATTCATTTGTTAAGAAATTGATTTGGAAGCTAAATTAAGATTCATGCAAAATTAGGATTTAACTAGCAAAAATGCCCGCGCTTCGCAGCGGATTTTGGGATCTTAACCCATAATCTATCAAAGTCACTTCTAAATAATTCAAAAATTAATCAAAGCAACTTAATTTACATTGTATAATAAGTCTTTCAGTTTCATCTAGATTGTAACAATCCGTCCCGGAATTTACGGAAGAAAATGAGTATTTTTGTATTTTCACTAAATTTGGGGGATACCTTCCTTTTTAAAATTGTTTTTGAGCCTTAATTGGTGAGCCCAAGGGGCCCACCCCCTGTTTTGTTCCCGGTTCCCTATCCCTTTTCCTTTTTTTTCTTTTTTTTCTGAAAAGTCTCTCTCCTCTCCTTCACTCTCTCTTCTCTCTGTCTTTCTCTCCCTCTCGGTCCGACAAGAACACACACACACACACACACCCAAGCCCGCACCTATAACTCTTTTCTGACCCCGTGGTTGTGTTTTGGACGTCAAACCATGAAGAAACCACCTCGGAGACTCTTTCCCAATTTTCCGGCGAGCACCGTCCCTTTCGAGGCGATTTCCGGCCAAACCACGGCGAGTTGGCCGGCGTGCGAGGTATCAATCTCTTCGTCTCGCTGAGTACTACAACTTTCCTTTTTGTTTCACCTAATTTCATTGAGTATTGAATAAGTTATACTCATTTGAATCTTACCCAGTTTCCGGCGACCTCAGTGACTTTCGAGGTGTTTTCCAGCCAAACCACGGCGAGTTAGACGTCGTGTGAGGTACCATTCTCTTCGTCTCTTTGAGAGCTACGATTTTCATTTTTGAATCACTTGATTTCGTCGAGTAGTAACAAAGTTATGGACGTTCAAAGTTTGTCTGAATTCCGGCCGAATTCCGGCCTTCTTCTCCGGCGTGAAACCCAGCCCAAGAAAACACCCAGGCCTTCAGGCCGTTTCCTTTCACCACGGGCCTTAGGCCTGTTTTGGTATTTGGCCCAAAACCCTAACCCTTTATGTTTTTATTTTTATTTTTGTTTACTTTAAAACCCCAAAGGCCTTAGGGCCGTGTCAACCAAGCCCAAAACCCTTTTTAATTGGGCCTTTGGGCCGTGAGGTTAAAGCCCAAACCCAACCTACCTAAAACCTAAACCCAATTATCCTAACCCAAACCCTTTAGGCCCAACCCGGATCCAACCCAAGTCCAAACCCAATACCCAAACCCAATTCACCTAAAACCTAAACCCATTTACCCTAACCCAAACCCTAAAGCCCAAACCCGTGGGCCTGACCCGTTGACCCGGACCCTGACCCGTTGACCGTTGACCCGGTCAACGGTCAACGTTGACTTTGACCTCGGGTTGACTTTTTGGGTTTTCGTGCGGGACCCCTCCTAGGCTAATTTCGACGTCCTGAACCCGTTTCCGATGTCCGTTTTCTCAAATTCAATCGTTTGAGTAGAGTTTGACTAAATGTACCATTTATGTGCTTAGGGGCGATTTTCGGTGGCGTTTCCTTCTTTGCTAGATGGCGTGGCTTTTCGACGGTGAAGTACTGTGAGTGGACCCCTTCTAAAAATGCATGTTTGATAGTATAAATGCATACATGAAAAGCATGATTTGATGATTATGTTTTATGAAACGTTTTACGAGATAACATGCTTACTGAGGCTAGTTTGAATTATTACTATTTTTCCTATAACCCATGTTCTTGTAGAATATCTGATGGATGACGATATGATATTTAGAACATGTTTAGAACACCTCTTTATAGTATAGATGATGGATGACTTTATACTATGAAGTTGATTTTCAATATATGTATGTTCACTGGTTTTGTACTTACCTAGTGGTCCTTTCCGCTACGGGACGTAGGGATAGATCCGGTCCGTCCCGGGCGACGGTTTGGTGTTGGCATAGGGCCTGGAGTGTGTTTTCCTCTGACTGTCTGCTCAGAGACGGGGAACCGGCACGGGGCCTGAAGTGTATTTTCCTCTGACTTTGTGCTCAGAGACGGGGAGCCGGCATGGGGCCTGAAGAGTTGTATCGGACATTCACTAGTGTTTATTATTTATGCGAATTATGATTTGAGACATTGCACGACATGCTAGGTTTCGGAAAACCTATGTTTATCATTATATATATGTTTTCATAAAACCTGGGGGTTAGTACGTTGATAACTGTTTTGTTATATATATATATATATCAACTTGGTCCACTCATGTTTGTTTTGCGCCCCCTTCAGGACTTAGAATCGAGGCATACAATCCCGACGTCCAAGCACTTCCGCATCGGCATCTTCGAGTCCTTTCGGTGTAGGACCCACTCCCTTGGTTCATTCAATTTTATATTATTTTCTTTTAGTGTTCTAGATTAGTGGTGTGCCCTGAACACGGTCCTTATTTGCATATTCAATATTCTTTTATACTTATAAACCTTATTTATCCCTTGTTTTCAGCATTTGCACTCAATAAATGGCTTTCGTCACCTTCGGGTGTCGGCCAGCACGTGCCTATCCTGGTATTCGGGGAATATCGGGGTCGGGGCGTGTCATAGATTCTATTGGATTTGCATTAAAAGCCTATGTACCATCAAAATAGCTAATTTCTAAGTCCTAAATATATACAATTTACATGATTTTTTATGTATTCTACAACGTGCTTATTTAATTGTCCCAAATGTGTAGTAGTAGTTGTTGGTGATGTGGCAAAATGCACCTGCACAGAAATTCAAAACTAAATCCTGATTTGAGATTGTGCTTGTTTAATTTCTAAGTTTTACCTGTTAAATCATGGTGAACCAATATGACAATATCATAAATATCTTTTTTTTAACTTTTTGGGATTGAAGACAAGTCGAGTCATCTGTGATGCCGCAGAAAATTCTTGCAATTTCAGCAATATAAACAAAGCATGTATAAGCATAAATAATAAAGTATTTGAGATCAAATAAGTTTGTTCACACTTACAGCGAGGCCACGGCCATCGGAGCCAAGTCATAAAAGAGCAACACACTTAGAAAACCACCAATTTGATCATGAGATCTGATTACTTTGGGTCTCAAAATCTTCATATTTGGCCTCTAATCTTCTTGCTCGACTGAAAAGGTTTCAAATAGTGAATTGAAATGTAAGATGTACATTGTCAGTGAGGCCACGGCCAACGAAATGTTGAATAAGGGTGTTGTAGTTAAAGAAGTTCTTGTGCAATTTCTGAACTTCTTCTTTTAGGGGCTCTTGATTTTTCTTCCTCAGTGATTCGACAACACGTTCGTCGAAGAGCATCTTGAGGTCGAGGTTGGATGGACACCCAGAGAGGGAGACATCAATCGAGAGACTTGAAGGGAGGTCCCAAGAATGGCTGAGATATCAAGAATGGTGGGACCAATGGGGCCGAGTGGAAGGATTATAGTATTAGTGGCCGAGCACCAAAAGCTTAGAGCTGCCATAAGAAACTCTTTGTCCATGACGATCTCGATGGTCGAGAGCTTGATAGCATCATAAATACCGAGAACCCTCTATTCTTTATTGAAGAACTTCTCCATCCTTTCAAGCCACGCTACCCAGGCCGCAATAGTTGAAGGCCAAGCTCCTTGGGGTTTAGTCGATTCCCACTTCGACCAATCAAAACCTTGAAGCAAGGGTTCTAGGCAGTGATCTTTGAGGAGGTTGGTAATGGACGCCGAGACATTGTCTTTAAATAGTGGTCCCAAGATCTGATGGGAAGCGCTTGAGTCACCTGCAAATCGCAGGTTTTTTATGGTGCTCCGGTCAATAAAGTCCCGGCACTTGGCACATTCGTCGGAGAGTTTGGAAATGAAGGTGTTGGAAGCCATTGTGGAGAACTTGAAGGATTTCTGGGATGAGAATTTCTGGGTTTTTTGGGATTTTGAAGACAAAATGGCGAGAGGATTTTCAAGGTTTCTGGAAGCGTAAAATGCAAATGGAAGGGATTTAGGCATTTATAAGCATTTCGAGAGAAAGGTCAAACGTTTGATTTTCAAAAGCGTTTAATTTTCAAACTTTGGGGCAAAATCAACCGGGAAATCACAAATCATTATGGATATCCAGGGAATCTAGGAGATAGGATCGAGGTTTTCGTGGTTTGAGGACGCACGATTGCGTGTTGCGGCAGATTTAATGCATTAATATGGAAGAGATGTTTCGGCTGGCGCATGTTTTCGAGGGTCATGATTAAGGGCTACTAGGTTAACCAAAGGATTGACACACGGCAAGACGCGCAGGGGAATTCGGATCGTGTGATCGTGCTTCATAAATGCGCTCGATGGTTGAGATGTTTAAGGTTTTTCATTATCCTGTAGTTATCTTGTAGGGTTTAATTTCACTTCTTCAAGGTTGAAAATCGGCGAAGGAATTCTAGGCCGAAGACCTCAAAAGTGAAGGGGCAATGTTTGGGCCCAAAATAATATTAGTGGGTCGAGTGTAGGTTTATGTTCAGCCCAAAGCTTTTCCAAATGTACTATGCGGTGCCTAGTGATCCTAAGCCGCTCAGTTAGGGTGGTCGAGTCCTATTGCAAGGATGAGTGATTTGGATAAGAGTGAATGGGTCGAAGTCCTAATGCAATGAGGATTCTCGGCCGAAAATGAATACAACCTGAAAAGGGGGTGAGTTCAAAGTCCTAATAGGAGTAGCATTGGTCGAGATAAGGTTGGATCAGA